GCAATGTGTTTATTGCAGGTCAAAACAGAGGGAGTGAAATAAAATAATTAAAGCCGAGCTTTAAATGGTAGAGTTTATAATGACGCCTTGCTGAAGAGGTTGCTCGTAATTATAGGTTGGGGTGGCAGCGATTGCTGGGCGCGGAAAAATATTCTAAGACCCTTGGGCCTTAGGGTTGACAGCCTTCCGTTTCCGAGAGCGTGGGCTGGGCGAGCGCCGCTTCCTGCGGCTCCGGGCAGCGCTGGGGCGCCGGCTCCTGCGGGATTCACGGTTGCAGACTCGGGTGCCGGCGTTTTCCGCGTGCGGAGCCCACCGGCTGCTGCCGCTGCCGGCGGGCACCTCCACACAGGCAGTTCTGGAACTTGGGCAGGAGGAGCACCCTGGCGATTGGTGTTGGTGTTGTTCCCTTTAAATGCAGTTTGTCCTGGTGGCGTTCCCACAAAGGGGAAAGAGAGACCCAAATGAAAGCGTTTCTGGTAAAAAGAAATGCTTTATCTAAGGAGAATGTGTCTCAGACCTGGTGAAAGCAAGTTGCACAAAACCACTTCACATCAGCACAGAGCAGCAGCAAGTGGCTCTGGCTGTTCTGAGCTGAAGAGCAACTACCTGCCCTGACCTGGTCTGCAGGATTCGTAGCCCCTTACCGGTGTGTCCTGAGCAGTGTGGGGAGCTGCCTGCTGAGGGGGAATGTTTCGGAGGACACAGATGGCTTTGGGAGGCTCCCAAAGCTCCTTCCACTGACCTGTCCCCATCCCTGGGGCAAACGTGAATGTTCAGCAAGAGCCTCTGCCCCTTGGGAGCCCGTGCTGGGAGCGGGAAAGAACAACAGAGTCCAGAGGTTGGCTGCACGGGAGCTCTGCTGGAGAGGGAGCAGGCCCAGCAGGGGAACAGTGGCCTCCCATGCCAGGCAGTGGGAAGTGCAGGCACTGCCGGCTGAATTCCCAAGGGCTGGTGTGCACCCCGGAAAGCTTCCCGGCGGCACCTCCGATGCTAACGGCAGCTGAACCTGTTGTGGTTACAGGTTTGCTCCTTGCAAGGTGCTTTCTGCAAGGAGCAAAATGTTCCCTCTTTCATGCGAGAGGACAGGGTATTGTGAGTTGTTGGAGAAGAGAGGGGCAGTTGTTCCTCACATTTTAATCCTGACCTGATGATGAGCATCCTAATTTGGAAGGGCAGTTTCCCTCTTTAATACTGAATCACTGTAGAAGATCATCTTTGCAAAGCTACTGTCCGCTGCACATAGCAGGGCTTGAGCGAGGTAGCAAGTTGTGCTCAAGGTTCCTTAAGCCGTTTGGTGAGATTTCTTTTCAGAAATATGCCGCTGACTCTACAGTCTAAAGCAAAGCTTCTGAGTGGCTCTTACAAAAACTCTGAGGGAGTAAGGCTTAGAAAAGCACGAGTTTTGTGTTTTCTTCGGGTAGCGCGTTCTTTTGTTAATATGAGCTTGTCCCTTTCCATCTTGTGCCTGCTTCATAAGCCTTGTGGATGTCACAGCTAAACTGTATTGTTTGGGCAGCCTAAAGCTCCAGCTCCGTTCCCTGTGGCAGTGATCTGAAGGGGCAGAGAGGAATGTGCACGCGTAGGGATTACATTGAATGTCTTTCACCGGAGTAGCAGCCACAAGTTCTGCCTCCGCGTGTGTTTTTCCAGGTTGGTTCACCCAGCGGTTGCTGGAAGCGAGGTGGCTGTTCTCAGTGCCCTCGGAACAGGCACAGTGCAGTGTTAGCGTTCAGATAGCTTTATTTTTTCCCGTGATAAATGCTCCATGGTGAGTGATTTTTGTGGCGCAGGAACTCTCCTAAGCCATAGTTCACTGGGTGTCTGTTTCCTTTGAAATCCCTTTGCACGTGGTCAGTCTCGCAGGTCGCGGGTGACACCCGGCCGGCTCCTTTGCTGGGTGATTGCTTTCACAAATGCTGCTGGGTTTGATCCGTTTGGACCCAAGTGCAACTTGTATGAAACACAGATGCTCTTTGCAGCTGGGGCTTAGCAAGGTGGAAGGGTTAAACGTGACATGTTCCCTTAAAATGGTTTTATGACTGCTCGTAACTCCAGTGCTCGGTAATGGAGATCCGCTGGATGGAGGGGTTACCCTTCACTATTAATGACTCATTGGCCTCATTCCCAAGCTGCCTGAAGTGCTGCTCTCCCTTGTGGAAGTAATTTTGCCTTTGAAGTACTTTCCAGAGCTGTCAACTAATGTTCCACAGTTCCCAGAGGAAATAATAAGCCATGAGTGCCTGTACACGGCACAAGCGGAGCCTGAGACGCGCTGCGCCTATAGGAGCCTGGCAGTCTGCTCCTCGGTGGAATTCAGCTTGTTTACATAATCTTATCTGGCTAAGCTTTGGTATTTCATCTGGCAGACAGCTCCTGTGAAGAGCAGCTGTCCAAGCAGTGGGAGTGGTGCTGCTGGTGGTGTGTTTTCCTTCTCTTTTTTTAAGGTCTGTAATTTCTTGTTGATGTAAATGGGAGAAATGCAGGGCTCCTTGGCTGCGAGCAGGTGCCGCGAGCAGTGTCCCTTCCCCTTGTAAGCAGCCCTGCAATCCGCTCTGCGACCACGTGGCCCTGCGGTGGGCTTCGGCGTATAGGGAAGGTATGGGACGTCTTGAAAAGTCACAGCGGGGTTACAGGGTTGTTCGAAGAGCCCCTCAAAGATGTTAGTGCTTGTAAAATCCCTGCCACGAAGGCACAGTCAGGCTGCATGGAGAGATCTGCAGATGGGGGGAAAGATAGTTGCCTATTAATAGAAAATGTGCAGCCAAAATGCTTAAGGTTTTGTGTGACATAACATTTGGAAAACGCACTAAACTGAAGGTTTTAGGGGAGGGAAGAAGTCGGTGCCTATAGGAGAGTAAGAAGTATTTTTTTACATACCTTTGGGTCATGCAAGACAACTGGATAGCTGAGGTTTCCTTCTCCAAATGTATCGTGTCCCTCACAACAATAATAAATAAAATAAAGTTGTATTTTCAATAGGAGGCAACTTACAAGCGCAACAAAGGTCCAGGTTTTCCAAAGCATGTTGGGAATGGCACGCTTATCTCAGTCTTAAACGTACATCTTTGTCTCAAAACACTACATTTTGTGCCTGGAAGCGCTCCATATCATCTTCCCTGCTCCAAGAAACGTGGCTGGTACTCAGTGCTCGAAAGACTAATTCTGCCTCTGCCACCTGAGCACGACCCTTCACTTGGCTCCTGCGAGACCCGGGCTGTGTGACTGCGAGGGAACACGGTGCCCTGTGACACACCAGTGGCTGGGCACTTGCTGGCAGCTTCCTGTTGACTATTTCTGTTCTGCAAAAGGGCAGTTCAATATTGTGACAAATGAAAGGTGAGAAACGAGCCGTCCGAACGCCGGCAGTATTCACTTGTCTTCCCCGAGATCCAGCGTCAAACGGGATCCTCTTCATTAGTTAAGGCAGCGTTCCTGCTTGTGATCCAATAGCAGGGAAAAACTGACAACCTCTTAAAAATCACTGGCCTTTATTAAATGTGTCACACGCCTTTATTAAATGCGTGTCACTAACTTATGCAGCTTTCGCTTCAGTTTATTGCTTGCTAGAAACTGATAATAAAGCCCGTTTGGCCGCCCTGGAATTGCAAAGAGGAAGAAAGGTGTTGGCTGAGCTCCCTCCCTGGGGAGGAGGGAAGTTTTGCTTCATTTTATTTTTGCCTTGAAAGCTCTCCAAATTAACACCCATTTCTCCAACTTTTACCTGTCGCTGGGTGTCACTTTGATCAGCGTGGGAATGAGGCAAGAGGTGAGCATTAAGCTAAACCTTGTAAACTCCGTGGTTTTCACAGGTTTTTCCTGAAGGAAAAAACTCCTAGATACCTTGTGATGCCCTCGGTGGTAGCAGAGCCAGTGCAAATAAGCTGTAGAATAATGCAGAGCAAGTCTCATATGATGAGAGATATAGGAGAGTAAAAAAATCTGGTAGTACTTTTCTGATCCTGTGTTTAACAGTAGAATAAATGGAAAGCCTGTTACCTTTTATCCAGAAAGGTTTGTGTGTAGCTTCTGGTGAAATATTTTTGGAGCTAGTGCATGCCCCATGTTTCAAATATGATGCACTGTATTCTTAAGGCGAACTGCAGTGGTAGGTTTTGTAACGTATTTATTCCTGCGTATGGCAACCCAAGGTCTTTTCGTGGAATAACTTGTCGGGTGGACACTGTGGTGTTAGGTAGCTCACGTAAGGTTGATGGCACGTGGCCTCGAGAGAAAGCTGGAGCCTGAAACCTGTAGAGCATTCCTGCACAAGTGAGCCCCACAAAAACTGTTGTCCTCTGGATTTTCTCCTCAGGGGCAGGAGCGTGTTCTCTGCTCTCTGAGAGCAAGTGGACTGGGCGACACAGTGGTTTCCTCCTCTTTGCTTCCCTTTTTACCTGGACACTTGTTTTCGCAAAGCTTGCTGCAGTTTGTTGTTTTTAGCACTCTTTTATTGCTGCCAAAATCAGTTGAAGTGAATGAGGAAATTCCAAAGTGAAAAGTAATGACAGGTGCATGTTAACATAAACCTCTTCCTGCAAAAATAACCTGGAATAAGCACCTATCCAGCCCCCCTTTCCCTCCCTGCCTTCACATTTGTGCTAAGGTCCGCGGTCAGTTAAGTATTGAAGTAGTCCCCAGTTCAGTTTAGCAGGTTACGGGTGAGCTTTGCCTATTTGAGATGTATGTGTAAATGTTCAACAGACCTTTGAAATCCTGGTGTCGGTGGGAGCCGGAGTGTGAGCCTTGCAGCCGCGGGCGCTCGTGCTCTGCACTGCTGAGAGTCGCAGGGGCCGGGGCTCCCCAGCGTGTGGTTGGTCGTGGAGAACAACCGCTGGTCAGGCTCACACTCAGGAACGGAACCCGGGCTTTGGCTCAGCAGAATAATTCCTTGGAGCCCGTTCCTTGAGGAGTGGGGCTTCGCTGAGCCGGGTGTAAGGGGAAGGAGCCCTCGCGCCTGCGTTGCTGCCCGCGTGGCTCATGCAGCGGTGTCTCTCTTTCAGATGAGGTCGACTACAGCAACTTCGGTACCAACACGCTGTCGAGGAAGAAGAAGGCCCTGGTGACGCTGCGCAACGACAACCTGCGCCGGCGGCCGCACCTCAACATCAGCCTGCCGCACGACTTCCGGCCCGTCTCCTCCATCATCGACGTGGACATCCTTCCCGAAACGCACCGGCGCGTCAGGCTCTACCGGCACGGCTGCGAGAAGCCGCTGGGCTTTTACATCCGCGACGGCACCAGCGTGAGGGTGACTCCGCACGGCCTGGAGAAGGTGCCCGGGATCTTCATCTCCCGCATGGTGCCCGGGGGCCTGGCGGAGAGCACGGGCTTGCTGGCCGTCAACGACGAGGTCCTGGAGGTCAACGGCATCGAGGTGGCGGGAAAGACACTCGACCAAGTCACAGACATGATGATCGCCAACAGCCACAACCTCATCATCACGGTCAAGCCGGCGAACCAGAGGAACAATATTATTCGAAGCAGTCGGATGTCTGGCAGCTCCGGGCAGTCTACAGACAGCACCGCCAGCCACCACAGCTTGCCCACGTCCCACGTGCTGCAGAACTTCCACCCCGACGAAATGGAGAGCGACGAGGAGGCTGACATTGTCATCGAGGGCGGACTGGAGCCGCAGCACATCCCCAAGCTGCACAGCCTCACGTCCAGCAGCCTCTCCCGCCTCAACGGCAGCAGCCTCAGCCACAGGCTTCAAAGGGACCTGGTGCTCAACAACAGCTCCGGCCGAGAAAGCAATGGCAACATCCACAAACTCCTCAGTTCCTTAAAAACTGACCCCCGGCACAGCCTGGTGATCCCCAGGGGGGGCATCGAGGAGGACGGCACCGTCATCACGCTCTAGGGGCAGTTCCTGCGGCTCTGCTCTCAGTCTTAAGTGCCAATTGGGACTCTTGACTCTTGCAACATGTGGTGCACAGACCGAGGAGAACTGACGCTCTCGCGGGTCTCACAGGTGCAAAGGATGTTGCTTTTTAGGGAACGTGGCATCTGGAATTAGACATAAAACTGTCCTGCACTGCCGAATTCATCAGGGAGGCCAGCGTGCAAAACCTGGTTTATATCCCAGCCCTGCAATAGTTTTGGCTTGTGTAAATCGAAGCAATCTTACAGGCTACCAACGGCAGTGCTACATACTTGGGTTTGAATGCATGGGTGGATGTATTTATACATGCATGTATATATGAATTAGGTTTTTAATAGCAATAACAGACCTGCCTATTTGAAGTGGAGTCTGTTTTTCCTCTAATACCCATTTAAGCAGAGTGCTTCGAAATAGCCATCTGTTTCCTCCCGTTACATACAGACCTTCCACTAACTGGTTTACACCGCATTTCCCATGTTATGTCTAATCCAGACAAGCTCCAGAAAAGCAGCAGTTGCCTCCTCTGGTGGAACAAAGCAAGGGGGATGCTGCAGATGCATTTTTTTTTCCCCCAAGCAAAACTGACCAAATGAAACATAAATGAAATATATTTTTTTAAAACCTCAGGAGGGGAGAGTGGTGTACGTTGATGCTGTTATTGCTTTGGGACCAGCACCACCAGCTGGTCAGAGGCAGTCCTGCCGGCGACTCACACTTCTACTGGATGGGCAAAGACATAGAGACTACCAGGAGGGTATAAAAATACATTCGGCTCCGTAAGTGGGAAGTGCATTCTTTTTTGATATTTATTAGATAATACCTCTTTTTCAAACTGCTGGCTTTCCTATCATCTCCTTTTTTTTTCCCTTAATGTACATCATGCAAATTTTAGGGATATATGTATATAAAAGGCCACAGCAAAAGTCTAGTGGATGTTGGGACTGCGTCTCACACCTCAGAACTGAAACAGATCCTTGCTGTATATTTGGGCAACCTGAATCCCCAAGGTTTTCCCTTACAGAAGACTGGATTACTGCAATATGTGTGAGGGATATTGGGTGATTTTAAAACCTCACTGAAAATAGTTTGTTATTTTTTGATTCTTACAGTAATCAAGAAGCTTAATATCTACACACAGCTTCTTGAAATTTAAAATATATTGGATGTTTGGGATTGCCAGAAGTCTTCCTTGGATGCTGGTCAGTGGGTAACCAGTCACTATTAAGTCAATAACTGCTTACTTCTGAAAACGCCATGAGTTTATAATAAAGTGGTCTAATCTAAAATATTTTGTCATACTTTGATCAGTGTAAGGAACAAACTAAATGTTTTACAGTGTATTTTTCTACTTGTAGCTTGTTTGTCATTTTCTTTTTTTTTTTTTTAACTTTGTAGTGCATTAAAGCTTTTTTTTATATGGTGGAATAGACATTTCATTAATAATGTGTAGATATGAGTCTTGGTTTGGGAGTCTTGGTTTGAAAAATCTATATTCTGGTTTGGAATTTGTATTGACTGGGCAACGGATTAACCAGTTATTGTTGATTCAGAGTACCTGGGAAACACGGGTTTTTCTGCTCGTTATTTAATATGTTTGGGACATTGAATTTGGGACGGTTTTAGATTTGTTTTTAAACATTTTATTTTAAAATTCTTTCACTTTAATTAAATCTCTCATAGATACCAAAGCAGTTAAAGCTGTACTTACTTTGTTCAGCACAGTAAGAATAGCACATTGATCCCATTAGTCTTAAAAATGTACTGTAAACCCCAAGGTGTGGGTTGTTTTTTTTTTAATCTGATTATTGGTGCAGTAGGATGGGAATAGCTAGAAGGGCTTCAGTCAATCGGACCACCTTATCATGAGAAATACTGGTGAAAATATGACCTGTCTGCAATAAAAGGTGAACAAATCTTATTTTTACACCCCTACTACTTCCTTTCTCTCCTTTCTATGCATTCTTTCTGTAGAAGTATTTCATTTACTTGCTCACAGAACGATGTCTTCAGATGCTTAACCATTTCAATAATGACTTTCTCTGCACCAGCACAGACATTGATTCTTCTTTTATTAAGCTGCTTTCCATATGCTTCTTCCCTGTCCTGCTTCCCTGTTGCACTGATTTCCATGGGCAGCAAGCATTTAATGGTGTTCATAAGGCATCTTTTTTCAAGTCACATATAGTCTTTGAGGGCTTAAGGTAGCTCTGCCTCCTCAGATAACACTTAACATAGCCCTGTCTCCCCATGTGGCGCCAAGCTGCAGACCTTTCCCAGAGAAAGACCGAGACGGACTGCCCAAATAAAGCAGTGATCTTATCAAAACCTGCACGGTTAATACAGCTTATGCTTCCTAGGGTGAATTTCACCCATGAGATCTGAGTGGGAAGAGGGAACATATTTTACCCACAATTTTAACGACCGCTTGAATGACAAAATACTGACAGAACCAGATTTCCAACAGAACCAGATTGGTGGGTAACACTGCTCAGTGTGGCTGCAAAGGCTTGCAAGCATTTTGTGCTCGTTTGCAAAAGGGGAGCACTTTTGTCTAGTTGTTGCACAGTGCAACAACTCTGCTCATCCCAGCTCTTAAAGTTTTCCTTGAAGTCTCTTGTGTGCTAGACGTCTTTTTTAATATGTACTCCGCTCCCAAACCAGACACAAGCCGCCTCTACCCGTCCCCCTCCTATAACTGCTACAACTGGAAAATGCAGGTAGAAACCAGAGTGACAAGGTTTGGGCTGAAATGCATCAAGGAACCTTCAAGCATAAAATTCAATTGTTTAATAAACCTTTAAAGAGGGTGACTGAGAGGAGAGTGGTAAATGAATCCTAGAACCTTCCATAAACTTCCTTTAGAAGGAGCAAGGTTTCTTTGATGCCGAATCATACTGATTTTCCTTGAAAGGCACTAGCCCAGATGGCACTTTGTGCTCAGCAACCATGTAAAACGTAAGGATGCAACCTCCTTGTAAAACACCTCAGAAAAATTTCAAACTTTTTTTTTCTAATGTGCTGCCACCTGTGTTTTTATGCATTGACAAGTATTTTGCCAAGCTTTCTAGCTCTGTGAGGAGCACCATGCACATGGGGACCTGAGGCATGAGAGTCATGAATCTGGTCTGGTTTGGGGAGGGCTGTGAACTCGCTTCCAGTTCAGCCTGGCGTGGAGCTGGAGCAAGGCTTGGCTGGGGAAAGATGCAGCAAGAAACGGTGAGGAAAAGTGAGACAGACAGCGCTATGGGCCGCGGGCGCCGGCCGCAGCCCCGCCCCGCCCGCTGCTGACCGTTACGGGCGGGGCCCGCCCCAAACCGTCACGGCGCGCGCCGCGCACGTGACCGCGGAGCGAGGCGCCATGGCGGAGGCGGCCGAGGGGGACGGCGGCGACAGCGGCCACGTCTCGCAGAGCCCCAGCAGCGCCTCGGGGCTCGGCGGGCAGGGCGATGCGGACGGCGGCGCCCTGGAGGCGACGCTCAGCGCCGCCGCCGCCGCCTACGCCGCCTACCTGCTGCCCGACCGCGCCGTCTACAGCGCGCAGGTGAGCGCCGCGCCGCGGTCCCCCGCTCCCGGAGACGCCGTCTCGGTGTGTTTGCTTGTTTTCACCCAGCACTTAAATGTGTTTTGCAGGTAGAAAGCTTTGAGGAGAGTCTGGAAGACCTGCTGACCAGGGTGGATGAGTTTGTGGGAATGTTAGACATGGTGCGTAGAACTCGTGTGTAACTTGGTTTGAATAGTCAGAGTACAGTTGAATGCAGTATGCGTTTGTGTCTGAAAACGCGACCAAGAAAGGGTAGCCTTTAGGTAAACAGATACTAGTCTGCAAATGTATTTGATAAGCAGGTAACTCGCAGATTCAAACTGCTGAACATTCACATGACATGTGAATATATGTGAAATTATACGCTCACATGGCGATGTAATTGCATTTTTATATTTATGTGTGCACATGCATAAATGGAATCTCATTTTGAACAGTGCAGCAGCAAATGTGTAAGAGGGTGGCATGATGCTGTGCTTTGTATTTTTAAAAAAGGCATAGAGTGTGTGTACGCACATTTGCTATCTAAATATTTAACTAAAATTGCCAGACCTTCAAAACTACACTTTGCCTTAGAGGGGGACCTTCTTATCTTTTATTGGGAAGGCAACTCTGACTTCCCCCTTAAGAAGAAGGAAAAAAAAAATACAAAAAAATCATATGGAAAGGTCCGATAGAGTGGTATTGGTATACAGAGTTGTCCTTTAAGTCATGGCCTTAATCTAAGGGGAATTTCACTCAAATTTTCTGTTGATTAGACAGTGATTTTGTGGCCTGGTCATATTTTTTTTTTTTTTTTTTTTTTTTAGCAAAGCTGAGGGGATGTACAAATAGCAAAATACAAGTCAGGGCTTCAGTTTGATTCCTTAGTGTGCCTTAGAAAATACCCAGTCGCTTAGTTCTAGTAAAGTTAGACGTGTATTTTTGATATAAAGAAATATTTTATTTGCTTGTGTAAAATAAATGTTGATCCAAGGCACTTATATAAGGAAAGTAGCTGATTTTTAATCTAGTGTATTGCTTAATTGTAGCACAGTTACAGTGTTCAGAATGAAAGCTGGGTACCTTTCTGATAGCCAGAATAAAGCATGTTTACTTTTTGTTGTAGTTCTCATTATCTGTTTTCAGTCCCACTTCAGTCAATTTTGTGTCATTTGTTTGAATCCTCTTTAGATTCGAAGTGATTCCTCTCAAGTCGTCAATGAAAGTCTACCTGAAATTTACACAAAAGCAACAGAGATGAGACATATATACAGGAAGATTGACAAACTAGAGGTATGTATTTGATATATGTATGCGTGGAAATGTGAAAATGGGAACATTTGCAATAGGGAAGAAAAATCCATGCTGTGCTGTGATCTATGTGTATGGAGGAGGGTCCTCTCCAGTCTTTCAGATCTCTTTGCTGTCAGTGTCCTATCCATCTTCAGTACTTCAGAGTTAGTAACTATAGAGAAGACAAAAATATTAACAATTTCTGGAGGCACTTCTGTTTTTAACTTATTGCTTGAATTAAAGCCACCATCCTTCTCTTCTCTGAAAGTAATAGTGGTGATTTTTGTTAGCATCTTTCTAAGTTAGTGTCTTCAAAACTATGCTGAGACTAGTAGAAGGAGCAGGATATTCATCCTTCATAAAACTTCAGCGCTTCAAATGATTTCAGATCCTTGATTCCGTTTCCAGGAGAAGGCTGAAGGCATTTCCAAGAGTTTAAATTGCACTGAGCGTCATTGTAACTTGGTGCTGCAAAGCAAAGGTGATAGGAACAAAGAGCGTTAAGAGGCATTAATTCTGCTGAGATGTAAAAAGCAGCAGGGTTAAAATCCTTGTCATGCTGTTGGTAAATGAGCCTGACAACAGTCACAGGAAATTGAAGAAAGTGGTTTTTAGATCATAGGAAGTACTAGAAACTTTAATTCAGAAAGTAGCTACAGAATATGGAATCCATACTTGATTTTTTTTTAATATAAAATTTAAAGAAAATAGCTTTTCTGCAACTGAAGATTATCAAACAGGTGTAAGTTTACCAGATAACAGTTCTGTCCAAAATGAAGTCATCTACCGTCAGACCAAAGCAGAATGTTACTGATTGCTCTTACATTTATTAGTACAATGAGAAATGCAGGGAGATATCTGTGCGCATATATATGTGTGTGTGTGTGTGTGTGTGTGTGTGTGTATATATACATATACATATATACACACACATGTATGTGTATATATACGTATACATATATACATGTATGTGTGTGTATATATATGTATACATATATATATACACACACACATATACACCCTCATATATATATACACATATATATATAAAATTACATACTCAAGTGTAGTTTAGCTTTCAAGGAAAGAGGTCATTTGGGGTGATGACTCTGCGGACATTGAGGCTTGTGAATGTGGTTTTATTCAGAAAATTTATTCAGAGTGGCAATTCTCAGTTTGCTACTTTATAATAAATTTTGTTTTCTTGCAGTCATTCTGAAGTGTGGAAATAACTGAAATTTCTGTCTTGGTATTTCAACACATTTAAATTGCAATACAGTTTTTATTATTCAATAGACAGCTGGAAGAGAAGAGGGGAGTTCCCAAAAAGGTACTTGGATAACCCACTGTCATTTTCAGAAGATATCTTATTTTCCTTATGCTCTTTGGGGTTCTACATGGAGAAAACAGTGAAGCTTTCTGAATAAAGCCTGCAGTGAGCACGAGCTGTCCTGACGAGCCTCTCTGAATAACATGCTGAGGGGCAGAACCTGCACAGGAGTCTGCATGCAGTGTGCTTTGTTGAGATCCGCTCTGCTAGAGACACCAAAATTTTTACCAGGGATGCAAGCTGAAGTTTGGAGTGAATATACAGGATGTTCTGCTTGATCCATTTGTCATGTTGTTTCCAGTATTTTGCTCTTCTCAGTAAGTAGGGGTGGAGAGAGACAAGCAAATGCAGAAAGTACTTACAATACAAATGCATCTCCTCAGAACTGGGGATAACTGTTGCACTGCATGGTTGAATTTGCTTGTGTGTGTGTGTGTGTCTGTCTGTCTGTCTGTCTGTCTGTCTGTTAGGTAATTCATCTTTGCTAGCTGTGAGAACACCACTGCCTTGATCAGATGGGCCAGGTCTGGCCTGGGGACTTGGTTGCAGCTCTAAGTGCTTGCTCTGTGGTAGAATTTGCTGTGTCTCACAGTTACACTTCTGATAGACTTCAGCTGTGGGAATAATTTTGTTCTTCTGACTTCCTAGCTGGAGGTCAAGAGAGTAAAAGTTGAGAGGATGCTGTCACATCAGTGAACACAGAGGGTTTGTGAAATCCTGCAGGATGGAGGTGTGTGCGTGAACATAAAGCAGTTGTATTTCCATAGTGCCATGTTTCTTAGAGGTCCTGGAAGAGCCTTTGAACCTTTCTACTGGGAGTACAGGATGTTTGGTGTTCTTCGGGATTCGTTGCCGTACCACCTTGGTCTTTTGAACTAGGCTTTTTTTTAAGAGTCAACAGTTATCACCAGTCTGCATTTCACGCTAGTGATTTGAGTCGGACACAGTGATTTAGTCAAATCTGCTAAGCCTGTAGCATCCAGGGTTGTCAACAGCTCCTTCCATTAGGCATCCAAACTTAGTGATGGGTATTCACTCTTCAGTTTGTACTGAGCCACAGCTTTGGCTCTACTCTTCTTGACTGGCATCACTGCAAAATAGCAAAAAATTAACAGCTGCTTCTGCTTAGTGTAGATCTTTCTGGTATGATAGATTCTCAAGCTTGTGCAAAAACTGTTGAAATCAATATATAAATTGCACTTGCAGAGAAAGGAGTTCTTTGTTATACCATTGTTGGGAAAGTCCCTTGGAGGCCTCACCTGTTCAGAATCCCGTTGCTAACCTTGCAGGGCCTGGGTCTGCTGGTTTCTAGTGTATGTGGGTGGAGAGTCAGGGCACAGATCTGGTCCCAAGCTTAGGAGATCTTGGTTCAGTGCTTCTGTGCCATGCACTTCCTGGGAAATGGACCTTCTGTGCCTTAGCTCCTTATCTGTAAAAATATATTAAAAAAAAAAAAATCATTATTTAAACATAGTTTAGTACAAGCAGTGCAAAACACTTGCGTGCTCCTGTAGAGGCAGGTATAAGATTAAACAAGAGTTGAAGTGCTGAGCGTGGGAAAGTACCTGCCTGTTATTGCCATAGAAATTGGAAGTCATCCTCAGAAGTGGATTTGAAAAGTGGGAAATGAGCTTTTCTGTTACACACAACTGTCCTGCAGATGTCACGTGTGATTATCTATCACTTGCACCTTCCAAATGATTATTTTTTGGTGTGCCTAAGACTGAGTAGATTTGAAAGTGTGCTCATTGCCAACGGTGGATGCTTTTTATTTTGTTTGTGAAAACAGTGTTCAGTTAGGTAAGGTGGTTCTATGTCATCTTGCATTTATTAGCTTGTTGCAAATTATATGCTTTTAGATTTCACTGAAACTTAGCTGTGGGTGAAAGCTGAATAGAAAAAGAAAGGCCAGTTGTCTTATTAAATTTACCCTGCTGTTGCTGCCTTTTATGTACCTCACAAATAATTTCCAGCAACAGACTGGGCTTGTTCTGGGTGGAAGGAAAATAATCAATGGCATTTGTATGACTTATTGTTCATGTCATGGACCCTTCACCACTGTCCTACAATTCGTAATCCCTGTTTAATTTATTAGTAGTAAGATGTCTTGTCTGTCTTCTCATCTAGGCTTTTGTGAAGATGGTTGGGAACTGTGTGGCCGAGATGGAAGAACGGGTCACCAAGGCAGAAACAGACCTTGGCGCTTTTCCAAGCACCTTCAAGAAGATCTTGCACACAATCAGCCTGCCGGCCTTCCTCAGTGTAAGTGAGCTCTTGTGGGCAGCGTCATGGCTCTCTTGAGCAGTGTGCATGAGTACAATAATAGTAATGTGTGTTGCATAGATCTGAATTTAAAACTTAGCTGCTGCATTAGGCTTTTGCAAAATTCTTGGACTTGCTCTAAAAAGGAGAAAAAAAAAACAGGGAGTATTTCAGTCATGTTCCCAAGTAAGCCTGAATATATGAACGAGAGAACATAAAAGGCCCAAAGCAAATAAATCACAAAACTTGAATAAAATTTTCCTGATGTCTTACTATGTAAAGTGACTATGAAGAGCCTCTACAGACACAATTTTCAGAAGATTATACTATACTAATATAATCACTGCTAAAATGTTATGAAGGAGAAGCAGCATGAGCTGTGTGGCACATTTTTAAGATAATAATGCATCATTTATACTTAACCCAGAGATTAGTAATCATTTAGCACCCTTGTGGGGTTGGTTGGTGTGTGTGTGTGTGTGTGTGTGTGTGTGTGTGTGTGTGTGTGTGTGTGTGTTGGTTGGGTTGGGTTTTGAAAAGGGAAGTGTTTTTTTTCTCTGCCTTTTTTTATTGCCTGTGGACTGTTTCTCTACAGCAGCCTTGAAGGGCTGAGTGCAGGGTATTTTGAGAGAACACTACAGTTAGCCTTAAAAGCTACCACTGAGTCCCAGTTTGAAAATAACCTATTCCTCAATCATAGTCTAAACACCTGATGTTTCTTGTTATTAGCTGCCTTTTCTTTTGTGTTTAAGCTTGGGGTGATATAAGAGATTTTTCCCACTGAAGGAAAAAAAAAGTGATTGTGATATAGCCTTGAAAAATCTCCAGTTGTATTTTCCTTTTTGTTACTAAAAGTAGTTGCACTAATGACTTCAAATTAAAGGAGGGGAAAAAAAAAAGGCAAGGCATTCTAGAAAAGTGCCTTGTTAGTGGGAACATTTTGTTCGGGTTATCAACTTTTCCAGTCAGTAAATTAGGAAGTCTTTGAAAGTGCCAGCAAGCTGGAGCTGCCACATCCATATCCAGCAGTTTCTTGGTTTGAGTGTGACTAATGCCCAGCACGTAGGACTATGAACTGCCAGTGTTAAAGGCAGTTTGCTGTTCCACAGTGCATCTGAACGTGCTCGAGAAGGTATCTGCGTTCAGGAGCAAACACAGGCAGTGGGTAAGCAGAAAGCTTCCTGCTCCTCCTCTGAATCAAAGTATGCGTGAAGGTTTCTCACCCTGACTAGCTCAGATCACACATCAGTCCTTTGGAAATGGCTGTTCTGATCTCCTACAACATCCTCATTTTAGTCAAGTTCTCTTGCTCTCTTCCCAGTGAACTGTCTGCCCCTTCGCATACAGGATATGTTTTGTGTTACTTAAACTGTGCATTTGCAATCTCACTTTCAGATCTTGCCCCAGATTCTGCCCTTGGACTCAGCAAGCAGTGAGATGCTGAGCCCTGTAAGATTCCTCATGCTGGGAGCTGTCCTGGGACAGCTCTGAGCCCTGTGCTAGCTATGAAGTGCCTCCAGAGAGTGAGAGCCCAGTTCTCTTTTTAAAACCTGTGGTGCTGTGTGAGAAGAGGAAAATGTCTCTCCACACTGCATGGCGGTGCCTGAAGAGGTGCAACACTCACCTGCAGGCAGGAAGGGGATAATTTTGAAGACTTAGTACATTTGTCAAAAAGTCCAAAAAAAAAAAAAAAAAACCAAAGACTTAATCTTTGTTTGCACTTCAAATTTCATTACAATTTGAATGGCCAAATAAATTCAGAGGAAGGTGGGAATGTGGGGAAGTCAAAGTTAAATGCAATTTAAATGCCCTAAATCCAACAATTTGAAAAAGTCAAGCTTATAAATATATAAAAAAGTTTATTTTATATAGAATATAAGAAGTATTTGACTTAGCTACTAGAAAAAAAAACATAGCTGTTTCTTAAGTGTACTGATTTATTGACACTGTTAAAGCATTCTGAAGTCCAAATAGTTGTAAGAGTCATCCAGGTAGTTCAGTTTTTCTTCAGTCTGGGGGAAGCCTGCTCCTTTTCAACCGCAAAGGACAAATACCTGAAGAACTCTACAAAGTGGTATACTAAAGAAATGTTATATTCCAAGAGCCTCCCCAAAAATATTTTAATTGCTTAAATCTTGATTGTAAGGCCTCTGTTTAGACTCTGTATTGACACAGCCTCTGTGTTGCAGTGCAGCAGTGCTCACCTGCAGAAAGGCTGACACAGTAGTCAAAAATGGTTCTTGCTCTTGCCTTTTGACATCAGCCATCTAGTGCAGCAGAGTGACCTACAGTTCATATTTTCCAGCTTATTTTTTTCCTAATTTCCTGCTGTGCTATTTCTAATTCTGTGGTGCACTGTGCATAGTCTAATATACACTTGATGAAGGAGCTGAGCAGGAGAAGCAGCCTTCTAGAACCAAAGATTTTTTTGCAGGTTTGTGTTCTACAAAAGGCTCTGCTAATTAAGTAATTGAGAGTAGAAGTTACGGTCAGACCAAAGGAAGCAGCTGAGGAATTTGAAGGCTGGAGTGAGAAAGGCAAAATTACCTGACTTGGAAAGTGCAAAGGCCACAGCGACCAGAGAGCTGGAGCTGATGTCCAGTGTGGCTCTTGCAGAGCTCCGGGATAGTTGTTTATACTGTCTAAGACTGAGCTTGGCTGTGGGATGGGATGGCCAAAGTCAGCAACTGTTTTTTCCTTCATTTTCATTGAGAATATACCAGCTTCATCCAAGTTGTGATTAAAGAGTCACCTTGCTCTGGAAGCCCACAGAGCTCCTGTGGTTTTTGCATTCTAGCTGTGTGAGCTTGGCAGTGGAACTTGCTTTTTAAGGCAACAATAAATGAACTTGATCTACTTTGCAGAAATCAGCTTCACGACAGCAGCAGCCCCTCTATGAGCCTCCAACCCTCTTCAAGACTGAAGACTATTTTCCGTGTGTGAAGGAAGGACCTTATTCATGATCTTTGCTGTGGGGTTGACGTCAATCAGCTGGGAAAGAGAGAGCCAAGTGAACAAAAGCAGCGCCACCAACCTCAGCGGGGCCGCGTTCCTGAGCGCTGCTGCGGTCGGACCATCATCGTCTTCCTCCAGGCAGCGGGCACGTTGTGCATCTCCCTCGTGCGCGTTGTTTCACGTCTTCCTAAGCCACAGTCCCGCTTTGCAGACTGGATTGGGCAAGGAATTTAAGAAGGCTTCTGTGTTAGGGGTTTTCTTTGTCTATAGAGACATAATAGGAGCCCATTTTCTATATATAAAATCTTTTTAATGCCCTAGATTGTGTGCTGCTGCAAGTGTCAATAGCTGTGGTGAAAGGCTGGCAGGCTGCGTGTCTTTTCTTTTTAAATGCATCCAGTAGGGAAGATGAAGGGAAAAGCTCTGTGCGAAATCCCTGCCCTGCCGCTCTGGGAGGAGAACAGAGGCTGCGAGGGGGAGCGAGCCAGGCCCAGGGGCTGGGGCTGCCAGGGAAACGAGCTCAACTGCAAGGGTCGCTCATGTGAAATTTTAAAAACTGCCCCTTGTAAATACATGACAAAACTCTATCTCTGCAATTTGCAAAGCTCTTTTAAGTTAACAGAATTAATTAAAGTTAAGAATGGGCAGGGGTGCAGTGGCTACAGATGTGGTGACCCCAGGAAGAGCTTTCTTCTGGGCTGCTGTGTGACCCCGAACACGGCTTGCTCTGTAATCTGCCTGCTCTCTTGAATTATGGATGATGCCTGGTTACTGCTACTCGTCACTGCAAGGTAAGTCGAAGGCTGCAGCCGTTGTGATGCTGAGGTAGATGAGCCCTTTTCTGCCTTAGTCAGTAGGGCAGGAGCTCAGCTAAAGGTGCCTTCCTTTCTTCGCTTGAGGTTGGTTGGTGCTGCAGGCTGGGTGTGACATCTCCCGCCTGCCGCCAAGAAGTGACACTCGTGAAGGTGGGTGTTAGGCACGTGAGACCTGGTGCTCTCCTCCTTCAGCCTAGCCCAGGTTCCGGCCCTGCTGTGCCACTCCTGCCTGCAGCTCTTGGATATTCGTGTTCAGAAATGCAGCTTGTTCCCGGGGCCACGGGCACGCTGCGTCCTGGGGCAGGAGCTCCAGCACGTTCTGTGCAGCAGCTCTCCTGGTTCCCAGGGCCTGGAGGCCTCAGGCTCTGCACCTCCTCCAGGCAAGAGTTCAGGCTCCTGGAGACAGGTGAGCAGAAAGTAACAAACCACATATTTTTATTTAGCAGTATGACTAAAAACATCCTTGAAAGCTTTATCTTCTTGCCAGGACTTTTCATCAAAATAAAGCATTTCCGGCACAACTTACCTTTCCTGCCCTGGGCCGATTCTCCCTGTGGTTTGCAGATTCCTCCAGCTGAAGCTTCTTGTGCAGCTCTCCAAGGTTTCTACGAGTCCTTTGGAAGACAGAAGTCCATCTCTCACTCCACTTGCAGGCAGGCTGCAGGCTTTGCCCCCAGCAGCCAGCCCTATTCTAACAGCAACTTCACAATAATCCGATGCTACAATAGCAAAAGGTTAGCAATAGCAAAAAGAAAAATGCCTGTTTCTCAATAAAATGCAAGTGTCCCCTCCAGAGCATGAAAATCCAGCCAGGGAAGGCGCAAGAAGTTTGATCAATATCCAGCCAGCAAATGGGTAGGTAAGTAAATTAGCACTGGTCCTGCTGTCTGGTCTTGTCCACCTGCTCCAAAGACATTGGTACAAATTCCAGCACCAACATTTTAAGGCATTTCCATGAGCAGCTGACCTCACCCCCAGCTCTCGGTGCAGCTTAGCGTGATACAGACCCATGTCAAGAAAATGATTTTTGCTGTATATTTTAATTCCAGCAGACTTAAATCAAGGTGAAGGTGTAAGGTTATTGGGGGAAGAGGTCAGGGAGTTGCTCTGTTCAACTCTACCTGTCCAAACCAACACAGTCTTCAGAATTAAAGTGCAAGTTGAGAACAGCTTTATTAAAATTGCTAGTGTAGACGTCACATAATGCTTGTTAGATCTTGAGGTTTGTTTTGCAGAGTTGCTTGCAGTCGTGCCTCTGCGGGCCTCGGGCCAGGCTCTGGGGTGCGAAGAGCGTGGCAGAGCGGGGCGCAGGGGGCCTGGTGTGCACAAGGGTGCCCTCAGCTCCCACGATGCCAGCAGGTGCTCTCCGGTCAGTGCTTACCTGAGTGCCAACCTGACCCCAACTAGCAACAGCAGCGTGGGCCAGTCTGCAGTGCCTCCGTACTAACTCACCTCGTGGCTTTCTTCCCTCGGGTTAGAACACGGGAAATGAAGCGTTCTGGCCAAGGTCACAGCCCTCCTGGGCACGGACCCCGCTGCGCTGCCGCCTCCCACAGGGAGGGCTGCGGGGGGCCGAGGCAGCCACCACGTCCCTGGGCTCCAGAGGCCTCTCCTCCCGTGCCGAGGCCGCTAGTATCCAGCTAGGCAGAAGTTACGCAGTTCACGGGGAATTTGAAGATGGGCATCCAGACTCATTCCCGCTAGCTGCAGAATCCCATTCTTCTCCCTGATGTGGGACAGTAGAGCACGCGCCTCGCAGGCCCTTCTGACATGGAGTCCTAAATGTAAGAAGTTGAAAGCCGAGCACTTTGGCTCCATCCATCGCCGATGGACGCGCACGTCTTCCAGCCTCGCTGCAGGAAGGACAGGGGCGACAGCAGCGACGCTGCTGCCACCAGCACCTAGGAACACGACACCAGGCAGCCTCCCGCTGCGGGCAGCGGCACCTCTGCCACCTCCTTCCTCAGGCCCTTCTCCTCCTCCTGCACGCAGGGCAAGAAGCGTAAGCCTTCGGACCTTTGAAAGACACTTGCATATTTTTGGAGAGGGTTTGGGCCTTCTTTTCTTGTTACTGTATTGCTTCTTCCCTAGTGTGTATCCGAACGTTGCTACTTCAAGAGTTTCCCCCCAGAAGAACGTAGTTACGTATTGACAGTTGAACGTTTGTAAATGGCAGAGTTGAGTACAGCAGAGTAACAGGTTTACGGGACATCTGTCAGAGCTCCACATCGGAAGTTTTGTTAAAGAAGAGGTGCTTAAATAACCCTCTAAACTTTGCTCAGCATTTAAAACAATGAAGGAAAGATGTTTGAGGCTACAAAGTAGTCAATATTTGACACAGAAACTAGTGAAAGCAAAGAACAGTTTTTGTCTACCTCCAAAAACATAAAGTCAGTTTCCCAGGAACAGCATTAACTTACACCCCAGCACATGAACATATACAGAAGAGACATGACCAAGTAACATTGCAGTAGTAATTTTTCCTATTACCATTGAAATACTCCACTTTCACACACTTTTCCTGCTGCAAAACCCCACAGGAGCGCATGTCCCAAGCACTCCCCCAGCCCAGTAACCTGCGGCGGCGGAAGCCCTCCAGGGGTTTCTTAACGCCCGGAAGGACAAGGACGTGTTGCTGCTCCATGAGGGAGCGGAGGCGGCTCCAGGGCTGCCCGCAGGAAGGGGCTCCCAGGCACCCTCCCATCTGCCCCAGCAGGAGACCCCAGGGCTCGGGATGTCTCCTCACGGGAGCACCCAGAGGCAGGGCCAGCCCCACCTTCCCAGAGCAACCCTTCCTAACCCCAGGGTTTCACACGTCGCCCACAGGAAAAGCCCATTTAAACAAGGCCCCCAGTTTAACTTGACTTCTTGCACTAGCTTTGGCTCTTCCGAATCCATAACCACACCACGCCCCAGGTGTTTGGATTCCTCAGTCTCAATCTTTTTCTTTTTTTTCTTTCCACATTTCAAAAGCCACTTTTGTTTGTTTGTTTTTGTTTTGTTTTGACACCTCTCCTTTGACGAACACTGTAGTAATCAGCAAATCAACAAGAAGAATTAAGGGCATCAATTTATATTTTAAAAAATGCAGATACCAGCATTTGTGGTAATACTAGAGATGACTGCAGAGCACTGTTTCACACATTCATTTTTCAAGACCTACCTAGAGCACCTAGGTATTTGCCTCTTATTTGCCTCTGTGTGTCCTTTAACAGGCTTGCTGAAAACAAAACAAACTTTCCCCTCCTGTTCGTGGAGTATTCGAGGAGAGGGGAAAGGAGGGCGACATCTGTGCCCACACCAAGGCTGGAAGCCGGGATCACTCCCAACGGCAACATCCAAGCGCAGGGATAAAGCGGCTCCAGGGAAGGGCCAGGAGCGAAGCTGAGTGCAGCAAATGGCCTCACTCAGAGCTCTCTGAATGGGCGCCCAAAAGCAAAGCACAATTTCAATTTGGAAAAGAAAAAAAAAAAAAAAAAAAAGAATGAATGAACGAGCTACTGTGAGGCCATGAGAATCCACCGCTTGTTCTGCTGCGTTTGGGAAGGGAGAGAGGGAGTCCATAAAGATGTTCATGTTCGCTCAACGCTGGTAATAAATAACTTTTAATTAAATAACTTTAGCAGGTTCTCTCAGCTGAGGGCACTGGGCATTACATACACATCAAAACTCCCTGAAGCGATCAATAGGAAAATATCAAGGTTGTATCCAAAATAAATATCTGAATAGCTTATAGAACCACAGAGGACCAGGCAGCAAAGTCTGTTACAACCATCACGTTCTTTCAGAAACAGCACAAGAAAAGAAGAATCTTCATCTGCTTTGAAAACTCTCTATTGCATAGGCCAAAAGTACGTTTACCACTTAAAGAGAGGGGAAAAATTATCCCCTTAAACTTACTACCCCTAATAAAAAATTATTACCTTTAAAGGGAGGGGATGCATTATCCTGTCCTTGTAAGGCTGGCACAAGTGAACAGACAGAACAGCCTCCTTTCTCCTTCTAGAGGAGATGGTTATGGGAAGCAAGAGGAAGAGCACAAACAAATACGTATTATAGGTTGCTTATTCCAAGCGTTGCCCATCTATTAGTGAATTTGGGAGGCAATATTTACAAACCAACTGACACCAGGCACAATCAGAGGAAAACAAACAGAACTGACCAAGTGATGGGGGCCACCAGTAAACCTCAAATTAACTTTTTGACCAACTGGTTGTAAGCAGCCGTTTGGGATGCAGCCCGGGACAGGGATGCTAGTCAGCACTGACAGGATGACCTGCTCCGGCTCTATTCCTTTTTATTCCTTCAGCTTTATTCCTTCTCATGCTTTCTGTGAGAGCATGTGGGAGGTCGCTGCCTGCCGCCCACGGCTGGCCGCAGAACCAGCGGGTCCGTGCAGGCGGCCACGGAGCCGCAGCTGCTCCGCCAGCGGCAGCTCCCAACGGCAGCCGCTCCGGCAGCTCCGCCACCGCTTCCCGCACACCCGGGCAAGCCCCGCGCGGGGCTCCCACTGCTCCCCGTCTCTGCGGGCTCCGCTTCCCGAAAGGAGAACCGCGGCACTGCCCTGAACAAGAGGCACCTCACTAACCAGCCTGCCACGCCACCAAAAGCGGCCATCGCTCCCCCCGGCTGCTGTGTGACAGAGACTAAGCACAGCCAGCGCTTCCTTCAGCGAGGCCGGGTTAGCTCACAGCGCACGGCTACGGCCCGGCTCCAACTGCGCTCAAGAGGCCTCCTCTCCACGCTAGGGCTGGGTGGCTGTCACAAGGCGGCAGGTTTAACTGGCAAAGCTGCTAGGATTGGGGCAGGAAGAAAAAGAGAGACCTTCAAGTATTTTACTGCTACCAGCACATCTAGAGTTCAGGGAGGGAGGTGGGCGGAAGGGAGATACAGGAAAAAGAGAGAAACTGAATGGATGTAAAGGCTTCCAGTCACTTTCCTCCCTAGACACAAAGAAAACAGGGAGTTAAAAAGAGGGAGTCAAAAAGATGTTTTTCCATCTAGTTTTACCTCAGTGTTTTAACCAACATTATACATTTTATTATTAAAAAAAAGTTGACATTGCAAAAAAAAAATTTTTTTTTTTTTTAACCGAACAGAAGTTTTACATGGTGGTATAAAAAGTCTAATGGGAGGCTGAAAGGGAAGAAGGGGAAAAAAAAAAAAAA